TTTTAAAATATAATTAGTAATTATTTAAAAAATATGTATAATAAATTAATAATTATGAATGGGATATGTGGAAATTCTTAATGTTGGACAATATTGATTATATGCTAAAGAAAATTTCTCCATATAAATTGCTTCAATGCCGACGAGTATAATACATTAATACTTTATTCGAAGTCTGCTTTATATTAGTAGTCGCGATTCCAACTTTGCGATAACAAAAGTGTCGTAACTTACTTACGCTGGAGTATTATAAAGTTAACGCAATCAGTAATACTCTAACTTAAAATGAAATTTCCTCTCACTATGAGTATAGCGATATTGATAAAAAAAAGTCTTTTAAACATTTAAAATGCTCTACATACAATTGTAATGAATTTTCTCTTTTTCAATTTAATCATGTCATTTTTATAATGTCGTTATCGAAATTCATTTATGCACGTTTAAGATATAAGAATAATTTTAATTATTCGCACTTTATAATATGAAGATATTTTAACAGCTTTTAATAGTTAAAAATCATAAATTAATGATTATAATTTACCTTTTCTCCATATATATATGTGTGATTCATTCAACATTTTGTAGAATTAAGAAGAATATTTATGTACGTAAACACAGAGATTTTATCGATTGTTTTAAGAGAGTTAATCAATAATATATTTAACTTTCTCGGCTAGGTAGAGTTATTAGCATTTAATTATTTTAGTACGTTATAAATTTGAGCTGCATGTAAGAAGAGTGGTTTACATATGCACGCCGAATAGCTGCACAAGCACTATTCGTGCCTGACCTATTCGTGTTATCGTGGTTACTGGAAACGCGATAACATGCGATACACTGAATTTCGATATCAAGCGTTCAGAACTATGCACTTTTTAACTTGTTAACCGAACATTTTGTTATCAAAAGCCATTTCTGTAAATGTAATTTAATATTGGCAAATGCAAATAATATTTTAATTATAGAAAGATATCATTTCACAAGAAATGCAATGATATAAAAATCGGATGATAAATTATTATTTCTAAATAAGATTACGAAGAAGTCGAGTTTGATGATAACCTTGAACAACATTGTACATTAAGCGGAATTAAACGTATTAATTACGCGTGTTCCGCAAAGAAGATATACATCAATTTGTTTATGGTATAACGATATTTCAATTTGGCTTTGACGATTGATGTGTGCAAGCTAAAAATCATATTATTTTGGCAGATTAGAGAGATGTAATTATAATGCATTCCGTATACACATATGCATCATATCGGCAAATGTTTTACGACGGATTTTGTATGCATAATATTACGCGTATTTGTGTCACGCGAGTGAAATCAATATGAATGACGTTAATAGATTGATTTACTCCGGACTTTGATGTGTGAATACTACTGAATGAAACGCGACATCTCATTCACTTAATAATGATAATTTTGTTCGTACCGCTAATATATGGACTACATAATTAAATGCAATAAATTAGAATATATATATGTGCATATATGTATATATAAAACAAAATAAGCTCCAAAATTTTTTTCGTCATTTGATCATCTTCTTGAACTTTTTGTAAAGAAAAGAGCTTTCAGATATCAAAACAGTTTTATAATTTTTTAAAGATTTATATTTTTATTTATTATATGTATCATATGTGATTTCTCTTATTCTTTCTTTTTCTCCAGAGCAATTCGATTGACCGGCCCATTCGTCACAATGGTGTACAGCATGATAACCGGTGATATGCTGACTTTCGGTATAATCTACACAATCGTGCTCTTCGGATTCTCGCAATCGTTTTATTTTCTCTACAAGGGATTCCCAGGCGTGAAATCATCTCTCTATCATTCTTATCCTTCGACCTGGATGGCGTTATTTCAGATAACCCTTGGCGATTATAACGTAACGTAATAATATTATAAGCTATGTAAGCTTTGCCATAGATTATCGCTTTATTGACATATCACTTTTTACCGCGAACCATTATCTTGCACGCGTGCACGCACATGTGTACATACACCCTCTCGTTCCTTTCCCTTTTTCTTTTTAGCCTGTGCACTCTGATATGTAATATAATATTTGCCCAATGTATCAATATTTGCAAAAGTAAGATATTTTTTGGTCCGCTTCTCGCGTTGGTGGATATCCATCTAATTCGTTCTTGCGATTCAAATAAATTTCAGGGATTTTAAAGCATTGCGTAACGACATTAATTTAATCGTTCTACGTCAGAATTGCGATTAAATGTCACGTGCGCGCGTTTATATTATTCCAAATATTTTTCCAGTCAATGGCGTGTCACGCTATGCTGCCATGAATCTTGAATTTCAATCACGGACAATTCCACGTCGCACAAAATACACTACAATATGGTTTCCTGACGAAATTAAAGATTTAGCACGCCGGTCGCGCGCGTCCGCACAAATGGACAATGGACGTGCAAAATACGCCTGTCCAGTAAAAATCATTGCTCGGTTTTGCAGTTCGTATAACGATTAACTCGTTGCACTGAATTAAAAAGAGAGTGATGCAAGGGGTGAGATCGGAGAGGAGGCACGAAGTATGGAAAATACGAGTTTCCGTTTGAAAATTCTATGCCGCTGCTGGCATGCAACATTGAACATTGGCCGCTTATTTACTAGCATATATACCTATAATTGCTTCACGATATTCACGCGCGACGATTTATCGGCGTTATATTTGTCCTCTTGTACTTATATTCGCGTATATTGCAGTACGCGGACTTGAATAACACGATCTATCCTAATTTGAGCAAGACCGTCTTCGCGATTTTTATGGTGCTTGTGCCTATTCTGCTGCTCAACATGTTGATTGCCATGATGGGCAATACATATGCACACGTTATCGAGCAAAGCGAAAAGGAATTCGTCAAGCAGGTTTGTATTAAAATATTTCACACTTTTTTGAAATTTAGTATCTACGAAAAATGTTCGTGTTTCCGGATTATTTTCTTAAATGTTAGATAATTTCAATATAAGTTTCCAATACAATGCAAATTTCCGAATATCATATTAGAAACAAATTGTTAATATTAAATATTAAATTCGAAGGAAATACACATTGTATTGCATCAATTGATGAAAATAATAATATGAAATAAAAATTGAAATTTACGAATTTTATTGTTAGCTATTTTGTGTAAAAATTGTTTAATAATAAACATAATCTACTTAACTATGATGATATAAATATACGTATAGATCACATAAATAAACCATGCATTCGTCTGTTTAATTAAACACATATCAATTTTTTTTTTTTTTACATTAAGTGGGCAAAAATCGTGGTGTCCCTGGAACGTGCCGTGTCGCAGAAAGACGCTCATAATTATCTGCAAGAATACAGTATCAAGCTAGGACCCGGCGACGATCCTAACAATCCCGCGTCGGAGCAAAGAGGCGTGCTCGTTATTAAAAGCAAATCAAAGACCAAAGCGAAGCAGCGTAAGGGCGCTGTAGCTAATTGGAAGGTGATTTATTTACTTATATTTATTCTTTTTTTTTTCGTATATATGCGCGCCGGCAATGCGTATACATGATTTATTCCACACCCGTGCATCAAGCGTCAGAATTTATTTATCGGCATCCCATTCAACTGATATAGGTTCTGGTATCGATTCTCGTAAAATGCACGCATCGAATTTTGCTACGATGTAATAAATTTTGTCACAATAGAATAACTATGCGAAATATTTACCCCAAGATGGATTAAAAATTAATGGTTTTAATAATTCACCAAATTGCATGTTTTCTCCAATATATCGACGAACGAATAGAAAATTGTCATTGATACGATTTAAATATCAATAATGTTATTTGAAGAAACTAAACATCGTTTATGTATAATGGCATGACTATTAATATTATTTTTCAAGTGTCAATTTTTATCTATAAAAGCAACATGAATAATCTGTATTGTTATATATGATAGGTCGTTTTAATTTTATCTTTTCGCTTCATGCATCGCACTTTTGCAGCGAGTCGGAAAAGTCACGATAAACGAGCTGAGAAAACGAGGTATGACTGGCGAGCAGCTTCGACATATAATGTGGGGCCGCGAATCCTTCTCTACTCCTGTGCGAGTCAGGTAATGATACTTTCATTGCATCTCATCATATCTTATTTCTCTCCAGAGTTATCCAGAGTTATCAAAAATATTTACATTGTTTTATTATTTTGCATTTCTTATATACGTACACCTCAATTTTATTAAAATTATTAATTAAATTATAACATACATGCTTATTATAATAATTATACTAATTGTATTTGTTTATGTCATTTCATGTCATTATAAGATAACAATTTTTTAAATAATACATAAATACATTTTTTTTCTCGACTTTTTGATTTTCTTTTAATATAATATATTTGTTACTTTTTTATAATAATTATTTATTTAATTACTGTCAATCCATGTATGCGACAAGAATGGCAAATCTGTTTTAATTACTGACTGTCTCAACCGTTCGCAACTCGCAGCCCATACATAGATTTATGATCGCCCTTGCGCCGGATGAGTCACTCTGTCAGAGAGACGGTGTATTCAGACGCGATACTTTTTATCACCTCGTAATTCTGTTGAGCATGTCATGTACAATCCGGACATAGTTAACGCCGCCGGCGTTTAGAAACAACGGAGTCCTTCATGGATTGGCTCTATGCTTCTACGTAACGAACGCGTAACAACGCTGTACGAACGTGACCGTATCTCGATTCTATTACGTATTTATGAAGCTCGACGCGCGCGATGCGTTACATAATACTTATGTAGCAGGATGTAAGATGAATAGATCGTATATCTACTCAATAACAAAGAATCAATTCCTCGAAACATCAGTCACTTAATATCCTGTAAAAACATCTTCTGTTACCTGGCAAATTGAATACGACTTCCGTTCGTGCGCGCGCGGATATTTAATTTTATTGAGAATTTAATGCATTATGCGTCAATAAAATTGGGTTACGTTTAAAAAATTATATATATA